GCTGCTCTGAACAGTTGATCCTAAGTACGTAAACTCCTGCACCTCCACCACCTCTGCTCCTTGTAACCTCACTATTTCACTGTTTTCCGTTTCGTTTACACACATGTACTCTGTCTTGCTGCGACTGACCTTCATTCCTCTTCTTTCTAGTGCAAACCTCCACCTCTCTAGGTTCTCTTCTAGCTGCTGCCTACTCTCACTACAGATCACAATGTCATCTGCAAACATCATAGTCCATGGGGACTCCTGTCTGACCTCATCTGTCAATCTGTCCATCACCACAGCAAACAAGAAGGGGCTCAGGGCCGATCCTTGATGTAGTCCCACCTCCACCTTGAAGTCTTCTGTCCTCCCAACAGCACACCTCACTACTGTTGTACTATTCTCATACATGTCCTGCACCAAACTAACATACTTCTCTGCCACTCCTGACTTCCTCATACAAAACCACAATTCCTCCCTTGGCACTTTGTCATATGCCCTTTCTAAATCTACAAATACACAATGTAGCTCCTTCTGACCTTCTCTGTACTTCTCCATCAGCATCCTCAAGGCAAATATTGCATCTGTGATACTCTTCCTAGGCATGAAACCATACTGTTGTTTGCAAATCTCCACTTCCTGCTTCAACCTAGCTTCAACTCCTCTTTCCCAAATCTTCATCATATGGCTCATCAACTTTATCCCTCTGTACCAGAACTTTGGCACCAGAACACTCCACTCATCAGGCATCTTGTCTGTCTCTAAAATTCTGTTGAACAACCTAGTCAGGAAATCTACCGCCACTTCTCCTAAGCACTTCCATACTTCCACTGGTATGTCATCAGGACCAACTGACTTTCCACTCTTCATCCTGTTCAGGGCTTTTCTAACTTCATCTTTTCTAATCTGATCTGCCTTCTTCCTAAAAGTCTCTGGTTCCTCATTTCTACATTCATCATCACTCCTTCTATTTGTAGTTCCACACATATCAACCTGTCTGACTCTCTTTTCACCTCCACCACATTTCTTGCATAGTCTTCCTTTAAGATCACCCCTACTCCATTTCTCTTCCCGTCCGAACCATTATAAAACAGTTTGTAGCCTCCTCCAATGTTTCTAGCCTTACTGCCCTTCCACCTGGTCTCCTGCACACACAAAATGTCTACTCTTCTTCTCTTCATCATATTAGCCAGTTCTCTACTTTTCCCTGTAATTTTTCTCCTAACCAATTGCCCTCCTCTTCTTCTTTGTCTTCGACCAACAGTAGTCCAATTTCCTTCAGTACCCTGTAGGTCAACAGCACTGCGGTTGTGAACCGGGGCCCAACTGAGCTAGTATGGAAATAGTTTTAATTTGCATTATTCGATTTGGCAAAGCTTTTGCACCGGATGCCCTTCCTGACGCAACCCTCACCATTTATCCGGGCTTGGGACCGGCACTATAAACACGGCTTCGTGTACCCTAGTGGCTGGCTTATAGTAGTATTGTTATTAATGAATTTGTAATTACTTCGGAACACTACTACGACCCTGAGAGTGGCTCTGGATACCTTGCATGGCGATTGAAAACCATACA